CTGTCTTGTAAGAAGAGGGTGTATCATATTGACCTCTGTTATTTGTATGTATATATACTCGAAGGAGCTAAACACATAGTCTAGATTTACTTACCCTATCCACAAATGCCAATTGTTCATTTGTGGAGCAAAGAAATAAATATTACGCAGTCAGTCAAAATTAGTTACAAGAAATAATTCACCAAATTCTCTCCAAGAAATGGAACAAAAATATAAACAAAATTGGAATATTGTATTACGTAAAATCCGTATAGTGGGATTACTCTAATTAATGGTCTGTGCTAAGGTATTAGGGTATAATTTACGCGTATGGTGAAAAACTATACAATTAAAAGTAGCCTTTTTTGTGCTTCACAGGTTGGTTTAAAATTTTCGTCTATGACTCTGACTAATAATATGGCATGGGAACAATAAAGTGGAAACCAGTGAACATGTTCAAGCAGATATGAAGATGCATAATGAACCATCTAACAGAAACAGAAGTTAGAGATGATAACTATGTGCATTTATTTTGTAAAAAGAAAGCACAGTAAATAGGGTGATTATTGGTCAGCATACACTACGGAAAGGTTCTGATTAAGTTTTCAGTTGTCGGTAGTGTTGGGCATTGCTTAACTTATTTAAATAAATAAATAAATAAATACATTTATATAAATTTGAATATTTATCCTGAATATTTTATCTACGTTAGAATAGTTACTATTCTAACCTAGATAAAATATTCAGGATAAATATTCAATTTTATATAAATGTATTTATTTATTTACTTGATTAAGAATGCAAAAGTATGGCTTGCTTGAAATTAGATGTTGTTGCAGAGAATGGATCAATGTTTACAGTATAAATTAGGGATAGTGAATAAGGAAGGGAGATTATGAAATCCAGACGTTTTTGCATTGATTTGGAGATGGGATCATTGACTGTTTGGGCAGTCCTCTGGCCTACGTCAGCTTTACTCTCCGATGCTTGATATACTATATATATATATATATATATATAGTAATATTCAAAGAATTTAAAGGATTTATATCAGGGATTTGATATATCTTGACCACTGACATAGACATGAGTACTTGAGACTAGGAGATGGCTTACAAAAAGATTAAATTTTATACCAATTATTTCATATTGGTATTTAAAATGTAAATATTGTAAATTAAATTATAGGCTCATGCCTTTCATCACAAGGTAATTTGACGTAACAGAGCGTAAGTTGTAAGACACAGCGTACTGAAACAGAATATATAAAGTTGTTTTTAAATGAAATATCCAGACATGACAATCATATTTTAAACATTGTAACGATTAGCTATGTAGGTAGTTTTTTGTTAATTGTATCATAAGGGTTCCATTTTAGCTAAACTCAAAAGCTCAAATGATATTCAGGGACCATCTGAAGTAAATATATATATATATATAAGTAAGCCTCTGTGGTCAAGTGGTATGATACTCGCCATGTGAGATAGTGAATTCAGCCCAGTCAGGGGCACTTTTACTAAACAATTGAAAAGGGACGTTTTCGTTGCTATGCTATGTCTGATACGATCTTTACATCATTGTTTCTTCGAGCACTGCTTCTACCATTCATTTTTTTAATTATTATAGTGCGTGTCTGTTTAATATATATTGTTCAATATAAAACTATTTTATTAGTTAAATTTAAAATAGGCTTCAATTATTTCTGTTAATATTCTTAATTCTCAGATTGATCTACAAAATCTTCTACAACGTTCGCTTATATAATACCAAACGATCCACTGATTATTCGCAACTAGAATATGACTATGGGACTCCAAAGAATGACAAACGTGTGACCAACATTGAATCAATTATGGCCTCATGTTTGTCATTCTTTGGAGTCACCATATTCATTCTACTTGACTTATTATCTAGCATGGAAACAATAAAGTTGAAATCAGTGAGCGAATTCATACACTTTTAATGTCGAATAAACTAACAGAGACTGGAATTACAGATATAGGCCAAATTGCTACTTATGTCTATTTAAAAAATAAAATCCAAATTACTAAATATAGAAAAGCATAGAATATATTTGGTTATAGGTAACCATACATGGAGAACAAAACGGTTGTTACACAAATTCAAATTTCTAATCCAAAAAGTTTATAATTAAATCATAAATTTTCGACGGTGTTGGTCCTCTGTTAAGATAAAACATTATTTGACTTTAATATCTAATACTAATTTACAATAATCATTTTCATAATGAATTTCAAATTGTCTTTTTATTTTAAGAGGATTATTGATCATATGCCTTGACATGAACATGCACGACTGAAACTACAATGCAGTTGACTGCAAATTGTATACTTTCTACATTAACCATTGAAAAAATGGTGATATCCTTAATTCAGTTTTATCCACAATGAAATCTATAAAAATATTTTTAAGCCGTTTCCATAAATCAAAATATAATGATATTTTCTATTGAGTTTTTGTTGAGCGATTTATTTCAACACTTATAAGTTTAATGTGTTATTTGGTTTATTGCAAAATTATATCATTCATTATCCCAGAATAAGTTTGGCTGGCATTAGTGTTTATGCATTTGCTTGACAAACTGTTAAATAGTTGAAGCGTTACTGTAAAAATATATATTATTTAGATTCTAAAAATTTGAAGATTTGTTGTTTGTATTCATTTCCTATATATTCTAACGGAAATATTGCAAATAAAATTATATGGAATCGAAAATGTAGCCAATAATTTGTCTGTCTGTGGAAAGTCAAATCAAAAATTAATAATGATAGTGGTGGTGATGGTGGTGGTGATGATGATGATGATGATGATACACATAGTGTGGGTTTCTTGCCTCCATTTGAATTTCGATTTTAAACTACAACCACATGGGCAAAGTGTTCTTCACAGACAACTTCCTTACCCGCTGGGCACTTAAGATGTTGCATAAGCAAAGGTTATAACAATGGCGGCTGGTGATTCATGAAACCTGAATGTTTTTCTATCCTAAGATCACTCCGCGGGTTATCATTTGGTTTATTGCAAAATTATATCATTCATTATCCCAGAATAAGTTTGGCTGGCATTAGTGTTTATGCATTTGCTTGACAAACTGTTAAATAGTTGAAGCGTTACTGTAAAAATATATATTATTTAGATTCTAAAAAGTACAAATTCTATCCAATTTACTTTTTTTACGAAATGAGCTGTCAATGTAGGGATCAACCATGTGAAAAGTAAGCATACTTATTTAATGTATACATTGTTGTGTATTGGTTTCTTTGTGCTATCTATTGACTAAAATATTTTCGGCTAGGGTAGGCCTATAATAATATCTTTTTAATCTTACCAGATTTGAAAAAAATACAAACAACTGAATAAGCTAATACTATCAGACATATGGCTACTTATTAAATATTTGGTTACTGGTCATTCAAATGTTGTTTTTTTTTTTGGTTTTTTTATTGTCATCAGTGTACAGTGCTGTTATGTATACGGAAAAGGGTGTTAATCGCTATTATACTATTCATCATCTTCATCATTTGGCATCATTGTTACAATAATTTTTATAGTAAGTATTTGATTAGAATTAATGTTTTCGCTGAACAAATCTTATTTCTAATGCTGGTCTTGAATTTAACTGTTATTTAAGTTTTCCTGATAACTTTTTATCAACAAAATACTAATCTGAACTTAAAAGAGCATCCCAAAAGAGACTTGACCATTATCATCAATGCCATGAATGTCGAATTATGCATTTTGTACATACATTTATAATGATTTTGATTATTGTTATTCAAATTTATATTACTCTATCGTGTATATATCACCGACACGAAAAAAGAAAACAAACTATGCTACCGTATTTTTACAAATTCAAGGTGACATGCGATTTAAATATAACTGATTTAAATATAACTGATTTAAATATAACTGTATTTAGCTGACCACTATCAGGTTATTGTAATATATTTTTAGAATTTCAATGAAAAGTCGATGATAGCTTAGTATCATTAATAAAATTCAAGATAATATTTGACAAAGCTTTTCATGTCTCATTTTCTCTGTCTCTGTATTTTCGTTATATATTCTTTTATATACTAATGTATAAACATGTATGTTATATAGGCCCTTTTATAATAGACCCAGTTTTTTTTTTTTTTTTTTTTTTTGGCAGTTTATGTCACCGCAAAACATCACTTCAAATAATGATACCAGCGTTTTCCCAACGTCTGTGCAGGAGTAATTCGTCCGCAACCAGCTACAGTTTAAGAATAGAGTCTGGCCAGGCGCGCGTGGTTATCCCTATTAGACAGCATACTACTGAATACCTCCGGCTGGTACATTTAGCGCACACCAGTTTTTAATGTGCTTAAAAAAACTCTTGTATATTGTATTCAAAGATAATATCAGCCAGTTTCTCATCAACTATATGCAGGCAGTCTGTGTAATCGAATGTATAGGGGCCTGTGTCTACTACCCTAAAACATCAACGTGTGGATTGTGGCTATTTTCATTTAACAAGGCACGTGATAACCTGAACACATATATAAAAATACATAATTGAACTGGGAAAGCAATATTAAAGAACTCCGTACCAAGGTAAATAAAATAATGTATTTTGTATATAGAATGAAATGGTTTAAAGTTAGCAGCTCTCAACTTATTCATATGTTTTATTCCCAAGTTTTCCAGTTAATCATTTCTCATTGTGTTATTAATATTTGATTTTTGATTATAGTTTTGATAATAATAGGGTGAATTACAGAGAATTGTAAACAAGGCTCGCAGAGTGATCGGTGCCGTTGTGGAATTCTCATGAGATTTTTTTTTAGTAATTTCATACTTAAGAAATCTAATTTAATTATGCAAGGCTCGTCCCATCCATTATGTTAAAACATCATCGCTATTATATAGGAAAGTGTGACACTTAATTTAAAAAAAATATCAGACACATCATTTTACATCGCTTGTACTTTATTTAATCAAATTTTCATAATTGAACTGGATTATAATTTTTTTTGGATTAGAATTATTTATTAAACTACAGAATTTATAACATGTATATTTATGAATGATTCTACGTTATGTACAACAGATATATCATAATGTTATTATTTTTGAAAATAAAATTGATTTGTATCTTTACAACTATCACAAATTGCTTATTTGATTTAGAAAAATACGGCTTTTTAAAATCAAAATTGAGATATCTGTTTTTTACGATTTCTACTATTGAATTGAACCCACAAATATTGCCATAAATATTAAAATTAATACATAATATTTAGGGATATCCATATACGATCCTATTAAACTCAAACAGGTTATGACTATTTACTCAAAAGTGTGGGTTCGTTAGTTCATATCAGGATTATACATTACGTACACAATTATACAATCACATCTGTTTAATAATCAAAATCGCTCGATTCATATTAATGCGCGATGTAATGCCGCTCTATGACTCAATGTTTGTAAAAATATATCAGGGATTTCCAATACTTGGAAAGTATAAAATTGAGGTTTGAGATTATATGTTAATAGTAAATTGACAAATTGAAGGAGAACAACGACTTTTTCTAGATTCTGAACCTACTGAATTAAAAAAAAATAAATAACTGTATCAAATTCAAACATGACTTCTGGATATGAACCAAGCCCTAATCCAAAGGACAGGTAAGTTTGCTTATGTTTTTTTTTTTTTTTTTTTTATTTATTTTTTTTTTTTTTAAAGTAGGAGGGACATTGTCTGGGTATGATATATTGGACGATATAAAGTGCTAGTTGAAACATTCGTCTTTAATATAAAGGTCGCGTTTTACAATTACTTGCTTACTGAGAATGCTAATGCTTTTATATTAAAAGTTAATTTCAAAGTAATGCCTTTATTCCTTATTGTATTTAAATAGATTTATGAACCTGTATTCAAAATGACATAGCAAGTACAACATTAGTTTATTGTTTTATTACACTTACTGTAAATGAAAAAAAAATTTTTTTACTAGAATGCCTAAATAAATTTGGTCGCTCTTATACCATAGGCCTATCCTTAAAATTTCAGATTTCAAATATCTGTGAAAGATGTACAGAATAGAAATCATGCATTTGAGGTATATCCAGAAACGACTGTGAGAGAACTTAAAGATATGATATTCAGAAAAATCAAGGTTAATGTAGCACAACAGAGATTGCTTTTTCAAAGTAAACAACTCAATGATGAAGACACAATGGCATTTTATGATATCAAAAAAGGAATAAATGAACCCATTTACTTGGTTTTAAGGTTAAGAGGAGGATAAGCGGAACGTAAGCACTTTTTTATTTATTTTATGAGATACCAATGCTTTATGAAAACTTTTCAAACACCACAAATCATTAGTTATTATATTATATTTATATAGTGACATATTTAGAAGTTAGAGGATAGTCAGGGCTCCGGTAAATAAATTAAATTCTTTTAGCTAGGACCTCTATACTCCCCTTTAGGCCCACCCCCTCCATTATGTCCATATAAACATACCCCTACATCAGTAATTTAAAGAAACAACCGTAAAAACCAAAAGGAAATATAATTCCTACTCATATTCGGATAAGTCATTAACATCAAAATAACACAAACATATAAACAATTCCGTTATACTAATTAAAATCCTAACTTTGTAAATTAATCTAACCAATGGTCTAGGTATTAGAAGGGGTATAATTTACGCGTATAATGAAAAAAGGAATTCAAAGTAAGCTTTAATGATTTGAATTTTTCTTCATTCTCAGACTGATCTACATATTGGTAACCTTGACTGACGGCATAGGAACCACAAGGTGGAAACTAGTGAGCGTATTCATGCAGTTATAATGTGGACTACAGCTTTATATACAGCCTTGACTGTACATGACATGAGAACAATACTGAGTATTCTTAATAGTGAGTGTATTCCCGGGGCGGATACAGGATTTGGCGGTAGGGGGTGCGCGAGAGTCCACACCACCTCAGCCCCAATACCATTAATCAATAACAAATAATTACTATAGTAATTATTTATAACTCTGTATTTCTCTTGTTTTTTTTAAATTATTATTAACAATTTTATGTAAAGTTAATGTAAATTTTCTATTATGATCCTTGCTTTTTGATGTTTTTTATGCTAAAGATAATTCTTTTTAGCTGCCATGATTTATGTTTTTGATGAATTTTTGAATTTTGAATAAAGTACCATTATATATACATAAATCTCTCGCTGACAAGGCGAGCGTCATAACCACTAGACCACGAAGGTTTCATGGTTGAACAGGTCCAAATAACCGTCGGGAACATTGTATTACACAATGCTATGCCTCAAGATGGGCGTTCGGCCAGATAAATCTGGAAATACGGCTAGAAATACTGTCGTATATTATATATGATATTGAAGGAAGTTAGCTGTTAACACTGTTGAATAAATATAATATAAATCTAATATGAATCATCAAAGGTACATATACAGTGTTTAATAAGGATATGATGGAACATCATATATTG